TGTTCCTTGCCCCGGGAGTGCTGGGGATAGCGGGTGTTCTGCTACTGTAACCTGAGTTTACCTTAACTTCTAATTCAGACTAATTTAATAAACATTAACCGTTTAGAAGGAAAGAGATGGCTTTCGTTTGACTCAGGGGGAATTAAGGGGTGAAAGTCCTGGGCTAAAGCCATTAAAATGGCAAATAATAATATAAAGAATATAAATATAGATAATATTAAATAATATATAGTTTATGTACACAAATAAGTAATATAAATATAAACGACATGCATATAAATATTATTACTTTGAAATGTGTATCTGTAAGTAATAGAAATATAAATAAAATCAACTGAATCCTATACTGACTAAAGGTCAGTGACTAAAGACTTGCCAGGTTAACCAAGTGATTGTACTGCATTTGATCTTGCTTGGTATTTCACAGTTCTGGATTTTAATGAAAGATCCATAAACCCTATGTGGACGTTGTAGGCTTTTCCCCATTTAGTTTGATTTGTACGCCAGGCATAATACTGTTGGGTTTGATTCCACCATTAAAACCAAAGAGTAAGTGATGTTCGTCATAGGCAAGAAAGGGTGTTACTTCCAGGAGAGAAGGAGCAGGTTGAAGGGATTCTCCCCTTTGCTGTACCCAGAGCCCCACTGAAATGCACAGGTGTTTCCCTCTTGACTTCAGTGGTCAGGCCCCATGGTAGCAGAAATTGGCCAATGAGGGGTACTGAAAATCCTCTCCTTTGCTTCCCTACCTAGGAATGACTGTTTTTAAAGCAGGTAGTATTATATGAATTATATGTACATACGAAAAAAAGAGAGAATATATTGCAACGAGATACTATAGCGTAATTTTTTCTCATTTTTTTTCCCTTCTCTATTAGTGAGGAGCAAATGTTACCCTTTGATAAACCCCTTCTGGCATGAGAATGCAAACATCACTGATTCACATAGACAGCTTTTGTGTGAGTAACATTTATGTTATTTCTATACTTCCTTCCACCCTTCCCTCCCTCCCTGGCCACTTACAAGGTCCCATTTCTGATTCAGAGGAGGAGGTCTTTGAGATAGTGTTTTGACTCTGCTTCTGTACAGTATCTTTCACTGCATGTGGTCTTTAACTGGGATTACTGTTGAAATAACCATCTATTTGATGTCAAGTTCAGCTAATTTCTTACACCTGCCTGGAATGGCTCAGGAAGATACACAATTGTTAAAAACAAAAGGCAAAAATGTTCCAAATCCCCTCAAAAGAGTTTGATCAGTGAAAATGCTTAAGCACACATTTAACCTAATCTTTAAGACCACTTAAGACCGCTACCTATCTACCTTTCAGTGGGTTTCCTTGCACTGAAGAAACCCTTAAGTATTGCAGGAATTTAAGAAAATAAATCAATGGCTAAAAGCAGCGTTCAAAGTATTTGAAGAACATCATGTTCAAAAATTTCTGTGTTGGTTGATATTTACTTCTTTTTCTTTAGATTCATTTGTCAATGTCAGAACAATTTCAGAAAGTCCAAACCAAACATTTTTAAATGCTTTTAGGCTTCTCTTAAAAGGTGATTTAGCTTCTTTGCATCATATTCTGCACAGTACATCGCTCATACATGCTTGTATATGGGCTTGCTTTTTAAAAATTTTTTTAGTTACTTACATCTCCTCTCTGACTCTGGCTGTTTTCCCCGTGCAAGCAGAATACATACGTTTGTCCTGTGTCTTAAAATGGTACTGTTTCCCTCAAAGCCAGCCATTTCCCTGAGCAATCCTTCAGAGAGGCTCAGTGTCTTTAGTCTCTTGGAGCAGCATCTCATGATATAGCTAAAAGAGCAGCAAACATAGCAAAGCAAGCCTATGAGGCACTAATGCCAATGTAGCTGTTGCAGCAGCAACTGGGAAGTTAAAAGTAAGAATGAGATCCCGGTGGGCTGCTGAAGCAGCCATACAAACATATTGACAGGTTCAAGACTAGCAGCACAAATTGTCTCTCTGTGCTTCCAAATTGATAGGTGCCATTTGTTTAATCTTCTGTGCTTAAGACAGAGGGCCTTGGCGGCTTGATGTTGCTGAAAACTGAGGAACAGTCAAAATGGTTGTCTGCTGTATTGCTTAAGCCTTTGAGGATTCAAAGTTAGGGCCAGAGGAAATGGCCTCAGGTTGCACAAGGGGAGGTTTAGATTGGATATTAGGAAAAATTTCTTTACTGAAAGAGTGGTCAAGCATTGGAACAGGCTGCCCAGGAAAGTGGTGGAGTCACCATCCCTGGAGGGGCTCAAAAAACGTGTAGATGTGACAGTTCGGGACATGGTTTAGTGGGCATGGTGGTGTTGGGTTGATGGTTGGACTTGTCTTAGAGGTCTTTTCCAGCCTTAATCATTCTATGATTCTAAGTTAATTGAACCTAATGAGACTAATCACATTTTAAGTGTGGGCACCTCGACTATTATGTTGAGATAGTCTAAAATTTCAGGGTAAAATTATTAGTATTTCAAAAGTTGTGTTCATTTTTGCAAAAGGTACATCTGTCGTTGTTCTCAGTCAAGGAGATTTTAGATTACAGGTCTTCAATGAAAGCTGAATTCTGCAAAAACTAAAACAGAGACTGTACAGAGCTCTTTTGGTTATAGAAATTATGTTGGCTTGGAAACAAAGGACAGCTATTTGGTAGTCATGAAGTGTAGGAAAATAGTGAGTATGAGTAAAAATTGGTTTCATAACTATGTTTACAGGCTCTTCAGAGCCTCAGAGAAATTTTTTATCTCTCACTTTCATAACAAGTACTGTTTTCAGGTTCCTGGACAAAGACTTCAGGTCTGCAAAAACACTTGCAGATTTTATTATAAACAGGTGTAGTCTGCCTAAAAATGGTGAGATAAGAAATCAAAGATACTTTTACTGAAAGAACCTACTAGGTTTGATTAGAATGCCCTACAGAGTGAACTTTTTGATAGTTTACATGTTCAGCTTCAATGCAGATTCAGGGTGGTAAGGCTACAGACTGACAGCAAGAGCAGCTGAATGTAGAAAGTGCCATGTCAGTACTTCTAGGAAATACAGATATTTCGAAGTGACATCTAGGTTTGTTAAGTCCTGAGATACAGGTTTATCAAGTCCTGAGATTCAGCCGTACACTTCTTTCTTAAATATCTTCTGACTGTCGTCACTGAATCATATTTAGGCAGATCAGGGCAAACTTTCATCTTCATCTACAACACATTTTACCTAGAATTTTAGAAGACAATTCTGGGATCCTGGATTCCAGTGTAGTTACACTGAATTCTTTGCATGTTGCCGTATGGGCAAACTTCAAAAAATTACTTTTCATTCTGTGTATGCCTGTGCAGGCGGCTGCATGAGGCACATTCACATGGAATTAATCTCATTCTGTCTAGCTGTACACCTGTATTTCTCACTGTTTGATTGGCAGACTGAATTTCAGGAGCTATGGCGCCATCAAACATGTTTCTTGCTGATTATTCTGAAAACGATTTATAAGAGCTGTCTCCTAACGCAGGCGCTTCAGTAACACATTGGGAATCCTGTCCCCTGTTCTTCGGAGTTCCCATACTCTTCCTGGCGTGTCTTAACTAGACACAAGTGCCAAAAAGATGGGAGAAAGTCTATACCTGAGTGCCAGGAGCTGGGTCTATGTGGAAACAGAAGTGCTGGTCACTGACATTAGAGAATGAAAAGCCTTCACATTCCTTCCCTCTGCATTTCCAGTCTCCTGTTCATCCCCAGCAGATTCCTTTCAGGCTTATTGCATACTTCAAATAGAGCTACTGTCAAATTAAAAAAATTGGGCATGCAAGTTAAAGTTCTGTGCTACCAGCAATATTAATGAGGCAATCAACCTAGGCCTTGTTAAGCCTGAGAGTATGATGTATTTTCACGTCACAGGAGTACTCTTGAGCAATTTTTCTAATGGATTAGACACCAGCATGCTTTCTCCTGTACATTAAGCTTCAATTTCTTTTCTTACCACTCCCTCCAGCTGAACATTGGCATATACCCTCTCTCTCCCTCAAGCCCACAGTGTATAAAATATTTTCCTACTGCAGATTACATTATGGCATGGTTATATATTTGTTTAAAACATCAGCCACTGGACTACCTGCCACTAGCTTTTCTGAAATTTCTGTGTTTAAACCAGTATCTTTTTACTGAAGAGGTACATTTTTCTCTGTCCCATACAGGATTAAAATGAAAGTGTAATTTTTCACAATTTAGACAGTTATTAGGGTCACTAGGATTAAGATAGTCCTCTGAATGTCACCTTTAAAACTGAAATCTGTCAGCAAAGACACCCCAGATATCTTGTCTTGCTCTGCATTCTCCTGTGCCAGCTATAGGAAACAAGCAGAAAGAGCAACTTTTTTCATGATGAGCCAAATTCATCTCTCACTAAATGGTAAAAGAATGATGTCACTCTTCAAAGGAAGCTGCATCAGGAGTTCTGAGCAGCTTTGCCGTTTTCCAGTAGAAGAAAGATAACATTTGAGCTCACATCTAAATGTTGAGGATCACATATAGAGAGAGGGCAGTTGGTGTGTAGAAGGAATGGCAGTATTTAATGTACTGAAAAATTTTCCCCAAGAGTTGCAGCTTTGTAAGATAATTTCTTTCAACCCCCCAAAAACCAACCAACCAACCAATGAATGAACCCAAAAAAATCACATACCCACACACCCCCACCCCACCACCCAAAAAAAAAAAAGTTACATTGAGAAAAGGTTACTCTTGAGCATTTTTGTAGTAGAAATATTTTTCATTTTCCAAAGTCTGTATTGTTAATAATTAGTAAATACCAGTATAGATTTAGCTAAAGACAGCACCAGTGTAAACCCTGCAAATTGAACAATTTTGTAAATATTTCTCATCAAAATCAGTTTGTACTCTGGACTTGGTTCAAATACTTCTTGCAGGACAGATGATGAGCTGTCAAAAGAAGAAAGTAATGGTTTTGCTGGATACAAATGTATCCTGTCAAAACTCTTTTATGAGCTTGACTTTTTGGACACTCAAGTAACCTGTTCTTGTGTGTCTCAGTTATGGCTGGATAGTGACCCCTGCTTGGTAACATAGAAATTTCTTCCATCTACATTCTTCTTAACTAAATGCTATATGATTTGCCTACCCTAGAAAGCTGTAGCTAAGATTTTTTCAAAACATGGTGAAATTTCTTAAAATGTGGAGATTTTTTTGGCATGACTTTCCCCCCTCCTCTGACTGATTAAAACCAAATTGCCACAAAGCTTTTTTTTTTTTTTTTTTTTTTTTTCTTCTTTTGGCACCTCAGAGCAACCTCTATAATATGTTATTTGGCCAAAATGTTAAGAGGCCATTTTGGTCCAAAGTTGCAAACAGGTGCAAAATCACAAAACAGATAGTTTCCCTTGAATCTTAGCCTTGCACCCCAAACTGGTACGGGGTCCCATTTACACTGCAGAGCTGGGGCTACTGTTGTTCCTTCATGTCTGCCTGGTTTGCCCCTGACACACAAACCAGCTGCGTTAGGTACCTACAAGGTATGATTAAGCCTCTGACAATCCTGATTTTTTTGTTAGTGACATGAACGTCATGGCAGGTTATTGATTTCCTGTTACTCGTCACTTTCTAGTGCTCTCCTCTATTCCTGAGCCATCCAGAGGTGATCAGTTAAAGGATGTGGTTTCCACTTATATATGGCTGGAAAAAAATGGTTTTCTTTTATAAAACCAAGACTGGAGTGTGCAGCTGCCCATACACAACTGCTTAAATTATTCTCCCCAGAGTATTTTTAGTTTTTTTCTGGTTTAGATAACAATGTAGCTGGAAGGATGAGGCTGCAGGGAAGTTAGTGCTTCCTGTGGGGAAACCCGCTTTGCAGGAGGGGCAGTTGCTGGTGCATCGCTTGTTATGGTCTAACAGCTGCCTCCGTTTCTTCCTCAGCAAAATGAGTTTAATAGTTAAACTAGGCTGGATTTCCTACAGCATGCCAACCCTGTAACAGGCACTAACTGGCTGCTCTCACACTTCTCCCCACCCTTTATGGGCCTGCTTCATTTTGACTGAGTTACATGTTTATAATCCCAGAACGCCTTATTCTTTGGCTGCCATTACCTTTTTCCTGGGGGATTTACAGTTCTTCACAATTTTTCCTTTTGGTTTTAAGTTATCAGAAGGAAACAGCTAGGGGTGGAATACCTGGCAAGAGCCAGTTCAGAGGCCAAGTGAAATAAGACCCAAATGATGTAGGTAGAAACTCTAACTTAATTGGTATGGCAGGTGTATACCTAAATGGATCTGCTTTGTTTCTGAGCAACAGTGCAGGGGTCCTTCCGTGAGTGAACATTTGCTTTGGTACTTACAGTAGCTATTACAATAAATATGTGCAGAAGTCTGAGGTAACTTTAGCAACACTGCAGCTGAGACCTAACGGGTGACAACTTCTGACGGATGTTCTCGTTTTCACATTCATTGGTATTGTAGCAGTAGAATGTGAACCACAGTGCATCGTGTATGTTTATCATTCTACCCATTCGTAGTATTGAAGGTTTTCATCAGTGCCCACCTGCACCAAGTACAACATCATTTTATTTCTGGTATCTGCAATTTGTCTTCCAGGTTAGCTCAGAGACTTGTGGCATGAGATGAGCACAAAGCCAAAATGTGTAACACAAAGTCCAGAGCTTAGCTAATTATCCTGGGTGCTCTAACCCTGTGAGCTGTCCTCCACCATCCTCTTTTCTCTGCTGAACAGGAGGGAATCCAAGCCTTCGTGTCCCTGGGGTTCAAGACCAGAAGTCTCACATTTAGCCACAGACAGCAGTTCTCTTCTGTTGCTTGTTGTTTCTCAGAGTTGTTTCCTCCCTTCCTTCCTTGCAAGCAGGTCAGGCTTTCTCAGTGCACTGTTTTTTTCCTGGCTTTGCAAAGTCTTTCCAGAGCAGCCCCACTGGTGTTAGCTGCTGCCAGCATTCTGTTTCAGCTAGAGGCTTTTGTCTTTCTGACTGGCTATTTAGTAACTGCTGGGGAAGATAAACAGGTCCTTAATTAAGCTCTTGTGAACTGCTGCCATTTGGAGTATTTCTGATGAGGTGACTATTACAGATTTCTAGGGACTATTTGCTATCATAAGCTGTGCAAACAAATTCAAAGTTTGTTTGAAACAATTAAGCACCAGTATGTTAACAGGAGATGATTAACAAAACTGCTAGACCTGCAGTTGGCTATTTTTGGCCCTGTTCAGTTTTTCTAGTTCATTCCACAGATTTCTGTTACAAACATCAGCAACTGTGTTGGGTGGTAATTTAGAACTGTCAAATTCACAGACCTGGACACACACTGCGGATGTCATTCTTACGTACATTTGGTCAGACCTCTAGTAAAACAGCTTTGGCTAGCTGATGTAAAACTTCATTAACTCAGATCAAGCAATTTTTGCTACAAAAAACTGGAGTGTTTTTTAAACGTTCATCAGTTTGTTTCAGTATTTTCAAGATTAAAGTGTTGGATCTTTTGTGTTGGACCGAAGGGAACTCCGGCAATGAGAAACAGATGTGGGAAACTGAATTTTGTTTTACAGGAAAGTGTACATACCTCTTGTGCAAAATGCTTATGCTGGGTTTTTTTTTAATACTAGGTTAATAAAAATGAAGATAGTTATATGTATCATTCATAGTGCATAAATATGATTTCAACACAACATGAAAACACTAAAATGACTGCAGAGTTAATGTTTTGATTTCTTTCACAGATGATTATTGAAGACAGAAACGTAGTAAAGATATTTTAAGGCGTGTCCTTCTATAAACTAATTCTGTCCCTCTAATCAAGGAATATAATGGCGTAATATCATATGCCAGACAGAATGAATTCGGATTCCTCAGTGGTTTCCACGGCAGCATTATAGAATAAGTTTCCTAGGCAGTTGCAGATTTCATAGAAGAAGGACAAATGGGTATTAGGTATTGAACTAGAACACTGGAGGTGATAGAAGTGCAGTTTAACCAAATACAATCCATTAAATATATGATTTTTAAAAAGCTGCAGGTGATTAATGAGAAATGTCATCCCAGCTGTGTGTAGGAAAAGTTAGGTTCTGTCACAGCGGGATTTGTGGATTTCAGCTGAGATTTTCACTGAAGAGGGCATGAAAATCAGAGTTACTGTGCTGTTGCATGCAACTGTCACAGATCATTAATGTAATCTACGACACTCCCCAGGAGAATACGGTGGTATGGGTTTGTTTTTCCTTTTCTTCAAAAGGTTATGCTCAGAGCCTTATCTTCACCCGCACTTGTCCTGGCTAAGATTGCAGCCCTAGCTGCAGTAGCTGAAATCACACCATGAAAAGGAAAGTCAAAGAAACAGCCACTGTTAGTGCTACTGTCCGAGGTATGGTTCGTTAGCAGCAACTTTGATGAGTGAGGGACACTTGGAAAATCACAAAGCACAGCCCAGTGATGAGCTTATGTTTCTTCCCTCCCAGCAAAGCCAGGTCTGAGGACAGAGTTGCACCATTCACACATTCCTACTTTTAAAAGGTTAATTGTGTCAGATTTTATCTCCCCCAAGGCCTTTTCACCTCTTACATGCAAGACTAAATCTAGGAGGACATGTGGATGTCAAACTGGTGGGGAATCAAAATCAGGCCTGGTACCCTCAGGAAGCACAAATGGGGCCAAAGACTGGCCTGTTCCTGCTGCCTCTCTAGAATATGAGAAGTAAATTGTGTGCCAGATCTCTATTCTGTCACATCATGTCAATCACATACCTGACAACCACTTCTAACTATATAAAACTCCTGAACTAAGTTCTATGGCTATTTCTCCTCTTAGTATTAAACTAAGATTTGCAGACTATTTTGACATAGTGGTTTATACACAATAAGCTGAAGATCGATTCGAGTGTTAGCATCTTAGAATTGATATACATTTGGGTTTCTTACCTAGCAACAGCAGCCATAGCCAGTTTTGCTGAAGGAAAGCCCAGGGAGTATCTTCAGATTTAGAAGCAAAAACCAACTTTGTCATTTGCCACATTTTTCCTTGTGAGCATGTTCTGTACTACACAAAACAAGTAATTATGTCATGAAACCACTTTCCGCTCAAGTAAAGAAATTAACAGTGTCTGCCTTGATCCCATGCAGGCTCTTCCTAACCTTCCAAGGTTCTGGAACTGAACAGAGATACGTACATGATTGTGTCTTGTCTTTATAATGATATTGAAGAGGATGAGCCGGATCCTTGGCCAGTGGCAGGTGGAGTACCTCCAATTCAGTGGGCAGTTACAGTGACTTAAAAAAAATTGATCATCTGATCACACACAAACTGTGATCTCTTAACTAACTACTTTTCCTTGGGAACCAGCTAATGGTGTATTGTTGTTCTTCTGTGCAATTAAATGAGACACCAAAGCCCAGAGCCCTTCAGAAAACGGATTTAAAGTTTTCCTTTCTCAGTAACTCTGCACTTCGCTCTTGTATGAAATAAATTGATACTGGAAGCTGGAATTACTTTTTCTTTTGGTTATTATTCTAGAAAAGGTTGGGTTGAATGTTGTGGATAGATTGCATGCAAGGGAACAATGACACAAAGATGGTTTATGATGGAAAAAACAATGTAATATGAAAAAATACATAGCAACCGTCTGTTTACATAGCTATTAGAATGTTGCAGGGATCAAGAAAGACTAATGTAAACCATTTAGCATGGGAGGAAGCAAACAGGATAGGTTAATGCGCTTAGTGAAACTGCTATAGGAAACAATGACAGACACAGAATTAGAGCTGGATGGGAAAATTTACCTCCAGTTGATGGTCAGCTGCAACAAAGGAAAAGGTCAACAATTTGCTAGATCAGTTCAGCAGAGGACATGTGACAGAAAAGAAAGCATTTAAACAAAGCATCTTCTGGGTATCACCACCCAAACAGAACAGTGCCACTCACTGTGATCTGTGTGATTCAGATAACCAGGGCTACTTTTTATTGAAGTTGTCAGTGACTGCCTGATATGCAATGCATCACCTGTTATCCAGCTAGGCTTAATATCTGAGACCAGTTTAATTGCATAAATATATCCATGTAGACATATCCTTTGTATTTGTGCCTCTGATCCTGTGAAGAGCTTGCTCTGTATGTTACCTTTTTCCCCATACCATATATTTGTCCTGCTGACTTAAACCAAAAACTCGAGAGCTGTCCTGCTCGCCGTTTATGCAGCGCAGAATAAGGCCTTGATCCTGATCAGGGGCTCTGCACTCAATAATTATTAGTGCATCCAGTGACACCATAACAAAATATTAAAATATTAACATTCTTCATTTTTCTTCAGACATGCACGGAACATTTGTCATCCTGATGCCCCTCAGCCTGATATTGATGATTTTTGGAGGAATGGCTGGATTCATCAGTATTCTTGCCAGGGCCTACCTACTGCTTCTAATGACAGGACTACTTTTTCTTTTTGGAGGTACTATATCAAACTCCCGGCTTAACCGTTCTAAATAATAAGGGATTATATCTGGGAAACATCACTTTGTCTTCCAGGGGAAAAAAGCTAAGCAAGAGTTTGCTTTCAGAATAATGCTGGTCCTCATTCACTTGGTTTCTGCTCAGCTCCTAATGGGATACTGGAATAGGAGGCTGGAACTTAGAGTCAGGAAAGGCAAATAGTCACACACAACCATACGTCCTTGTGTAGTGAGTCACACTTTGAACACAGTGTATTTGCTGTGCCCATTAACACAAAGCACAGTGCCCAAATTATTTACAGATGGGATAGTGGAGTAATGGAGAAGTGACTTTGGAATTAGTAAAGCATAGGGTTCGATAGCCTTGGCACAGGTCTTACAACTATTAAGAAAAGTGACATTTTTTTCAAAGGCATTTGCATCGAGTTCC